TTATATCTGCATCAATATTTCTCCATGCTTCCATCATTACTGTTTTTAGTTCAGTTTTCGTTTTAGTGTTGTGTCTTCGTACTCTAACTTGTAATTCTGCCCCAATGTGTTCTGTTGGGTTTAAATGAGGTGGTGTTTACAGAACTTGTGGATAAACATATCAAAGGTGTATGTTGAGGGCCATGTGCTGATAAAAAATAAAGTTTGGGACAGGAAATATGCCTATTGGAACCAAAAAGGTTAAATTTGCTTTCATATGCAAATATGGCGTGATTCCAATACAAATTATTTACGATTTATTTTGAGAAGAAAAGTGTAAGCTTTTTGTACTTCTAAAAAATTCTCTTCGAGAGAAGAGTGCTTATGAAATCCAGCTGATCTGAGTACTTGTCGAAAAGCTTTAAGCGAAACTGAAGTGAGAAATTTTTCAGTAAATTCTGTAGAAATCTGTACAACACTCAAATGTGGATTTTTTACAGATTTTCTGTCTAAATCTCTGATTATGTCGAGTCAGGTCTAGTCCTCTTTATCAGACAACCTCTTCTTACTTTATTTTGGATCTGATTGTCTTCTTTAAAGTATTTTATCGCATACTACACTGTAATAAATTTACTAATTTAGCGATATCCTGAATCAAATTTCCATCCTTATCATAAGAAATGATTTAATTTTTGAATGCTGTTTGTTGTTTCTTTATGACTATGAGCCATTTTTAAACATTAAATAAAATATGATAAAGTGAGCAAGAAAAATAAAGCCAAACAATTTTTTGTCATCAAAATGCAAAAATAAAAAAGTGGCAGAAGATAATTTTATTTATGAATTTTTGCAAAACTGCCATGGTCTACGGTCACTTTCGCACTGTGTTTTATCTATGCCCCCTTATATTTTCAATTTTAGAAAAAGAAAATAATTCAGTATAAAAAATTTTAAAAGTCTGGTTTTATTCAAAATCGTATGGAGATGATATGAAAAAATATTGGGCTTTATATTTGTACTCAATTCTGGGTTAGAGTTTTTTCTACAAATTCTCTAAAGTGTACGAACACTTTGGAGAGATGCTGTAATCCAAGTCATTTAAAAATACTAGGGTTTAATGAAATGGTGAAATAAAAAGCATCCTTCCAACTGTGTGGTGCTACTTAAGTGTGTATTTAAGGGAATTTATGTTGTACTTAGTTCACAAAGATACTTTTTTGTTGCTCTTTGAAATGTGTTCAGGGAGATTTTAGCCTCTGGAACGATAGATATATGGTGTTAAGTTTCAGTGAACTTGTTTGCCATATAGTTTCTATATATCTATCATTAAGTTTCAAAGCTCAAATGTCGGTATTTATCACCATTTTCAATACTTTTTTTGTTCAATTTATAAAGCATGTTAGAAAGTAATCTTAATCTATATATTTTTTTCAAGTTTAGAAAGGAAGGAATGAGCAGTGTTGAAAGAGGTGCATGGGGCAAAAAATGGTTAAGAACCTAACTCAGTGTGTCTTTGTCTGACACTTTTGGAAGATTAAAAGCTGGGCAGTATTTGCTATCAGTTGATCATGTTTAATAAAAATTTTACCAACATACTTCTTGCTGCTTATTAGAAAATTTCTTTCAGAGTGTACAGGCATTTATGAACAACTGATGCATTATTTTTTACTTCAAATTAGCTTGACCTAGGGCTTTTTTTTTTTCTCTGAAAACTTTAAATAGTGACAAGAGAACTTCTGTTCTTTAAAAAAGTTCTGAATAATATGTTTTATATGCTGATATCTTTTTTAGCGATATGACTTTTTAATGCCATCTGACAGCTGTTACCTAGATCAAGAATAGGGCTGATTCTTCCACAGGCACTGAGAACGAGTTGGAATATTCGTGGGATCAAGTGGGTGAATATATTTCTTTTCTTTGTCATATTTGTGTAACATTTCAAGTTAACTTAAGTTTTATGTTTTGAAATCGTGTGTAAAAAAAGAAAGTGCCGTTTAGCACCAAGCATAAATTTTCACACGAAGTCAAACTAGACTGGAGCAACCCTAGCAAGCTTCTTTAAAAGACTTGACTATTTTATATGTAATGAATAATATCTATAATGCTAAACTGGGCAGTTCTCCGATTTTTTTTTTTTTTTTTTTAAGGAAAACAGGTCACGTATGCATGAAATGAATGAAACTTGATCTGTGTAATACTGTGATCTTTTTTTGCTTTTAAAAAAGAAATGGAGACCTGCAAAAATTCAGTGAAGAATGACTGTTTGCACTGTTTTACATAGAAGCTATTAAAAATCTAGATGCTAGCAAGATGTAAACGTACTACTGCATTTGGTGCTTCTTGGCAACTGGCACCTGTTAATTTGTAATTGCAAAATTTAAAACTGATGTGATTTTAGTAAACATAGTTTCAAAAATACATTTGCCTACACAAATTTGATATGTGAAATCCTTTTACATTTTTTATTCAAAATAATTATTGTGTAATTGAATTGAATCACTACAGATATATATTATAAAAATTGGAATGAACTACTTTTAATGAGGATTGGTATGTTTCTTTCTTAAAGCGGGAAAAAGGGAGGAGTAGGTTTCTTTCCCTGAAGTCAAAAGAGTTAATCTTTTTAAATAAATTCATTTATATTTTATTAATCTATATTCTTTGTAGATTTGTTATATTTCTACTAAATATTTAATTTTTATGAAATTAAACTAGCCATATTGTATCTTCTACCTAATCGTTTTTGTATCTATATGCATATTGTATCTGCTGATAGATCTTCCGTCATTTTTTTACTAAACAGATCCTTTACTGATTTCATTTTGTATTAAAACAAAGTCTTTAAAAAGAAGAACAATTAATTAAGATTCCCCTCTGACTCCATTTAAGACTGAATAACTTCAAAAAAAAAATTTTTTTTTTTTCATTTTTAATCCTATATATTTGAGAATTGAAAATTGTATATTAATTTCTATTTAATTATATATAAAAAGTAAAATATAGAAATTTAAGAATTATAAGCACTGAGGAAAAAATGCTTTAATGCGTAGTATTATAAGTCAAAGAGGTTCACGGCGAAGTCACTTCACATCTTTGCACCAGATTCATTATCTAATCATAATCAACAAATTATTATCTAATCATAATCATATGATTCATATTAATTAATAATCAAGAACGCCTGAGTGCTTTCTAGCAGCCTTTCCTGCAAGAAAAAAGTGGAGTTTGAGCGGTAATACCACGTGCCTTCAAACGCCGCAATTTAATGGACAATTAAGGTTATCTGTTGGCCAAAGCGTAAACTAAACGTCTAACACTGTGGTTAAACAGGGAAAAAACGGGATGCGGTCCTCAATAAAGGAAGAAAAACACATGCCTGCAGGATGAGCAGATTTTGTTACATTTGAGTTGCCCGTGGAAATTGCGGGATGAGCAGCCAGAGGATTTAAATTACAAAATTGAATTGAGAGAGATTTAAATTACAAAATTGAATCTGTACCATCAAACAGATATTAGTAACCCTTATTTTAGCACGTAATGTATAATATAAAACCCTTTCCAATATAAATCAGTTTAATATGTCATTTCAAAGTATGCATTTTTTACTTAATAATTAACCTAAGATTAATTTGCTATAAAGATTTGTTAAAATATTCAACTTTCAGAAATGTGCAAACACAATTTTGTAATGTGCATTGACATTCCAAATGCAAAAGATATCTGATGTTTTTGTCGAGTATCTGGTGTATTAAAAGATCTGTTTAAAAAATTCTTCATACTTTTCTGTATATTTTTAGGCCTTTAATCGAGTTTTCATTGCCTAATTTTAGTCAAACATATTGACCAAAAAATATTCTTTTAAATTAATATGGTGATTTTTAAACAGTAACAAGCAATTTTAAAGCTAAATTTCTTTAATGATGATTTATATGATTGTACAGTTTTGGAATTGATGACCAAAAACATATATTTATATGTTGTTTGCAAATATATATGTGTAATATTATGCAAATTCAAATTTAAATATTTTTTCTCTATCTGTCTCTTCTAGAATGTTGTATACATTTTCAAGGGTTGGTTAAAGTAGAAAATAGACTTTGGGATTTTCTAAAGTTAAAAGACTTATTAAATCTAGCATCTGTTTATATTGGTGAAACCTTTCTGAAGAAATGGTGGCAAAGATGCCCTGGACTTCTTATTGAGAACTTCAGGTCTCCATTACCATTCTAGAGCTGTGGCTATCATAGATTTTTGCTTCTGAACTGTCTGTGACTATTTGCAAAAACTTCATCTTCATATGGATTAGATAGACTCACCAGTGTGCCTGTTATGTGGCCTTATTAACACCATTAACTCTATACTTATGCCTTGATTGTAATGATGTTGCAAACAATAACTGTGCAAATGACAACTTTTTGCTTCGTTTCACAATTTTTATGTGCTGTTTTCCTAATGTCTGAAAAGGCCTAGGTCTGTATAGGATTTTAAAAGATATTTGAGACATTATATTTATGGTTCATGTTTTTTCTCATCCTTGCTTTATATTTTTATAATTTTAAGCTGTTATTGCAGCTGATAACATCAGAATTGTTTGTTTAGCTTGTACTGAATAATGAAATCCAAAATATTCAGTGTTTTTTAATTTCTCATTCATATAATTCTATTCATATAGTCAGTTATTAAAGTTTCCTTTTGAACTTCACTCCTAAGCAATTTTTATATCATTAAAATTCAGTTTAGAGTTTTATTGGTTTTAAGTTTGCTTTATGATAAAAATTTGTTGGGTTTTGCTTAACAGAGAGAACAAAATTAACAGTTACACTAAATTAAAGGTTAAATGTTTCTCCTGAACTTTTTCTTTGAAGAACATCCTACCTTTTTCAGTTTACCTCAACATATGTTGTATACAAATATTTAATGATTTTTAATACATTCATTGTGTTCTGAGAGTACTGTTCATTAATTTAAGCATGATTTTACATAATATTGTATTAATGTTTAATATTTTTTCATACCTACAGGTACTGATGTTCTGAATTTTAGGTTGGAATAAAAATTGATTGCATCAAAATTGTTTCTGCAACTTGTTCCGAACAAGGCCAAGATGTGATGTGTAAATGTGAAGAAGTGTACAGCAGTTGTGTGTTGTACTGTATATTATGTATTTTTACCAGCCAATTGAAATTAAATTATTAATGGTCACTTAACTAAGAAGATGTAATTTTTTTTATGAAGAGTTGCTTTAAAAAAACGAAAGAAAAATCTCTATATTAGCAGTATTTAAATATTCCATTTGATTATTTAATTTTGTGTAAAACTGTTTTTTTAAACTAAAAGAAGAAGGGAATCAAATAAACTGTATTCTGATGTGCCTAATGAATTGATAGTTGCATTCATAATAAATAAGACTAACAGTAGCAAAGTAACAAAATATTGGTACCTTATTCTGTTCCTGGTGATACTGTCTGTATGAGGTTTTTGCAGTTTTTCTGATGAACCTATAAACATTGGATATGCTATCTTTAGAAAAATATTTGGTCATTTGAAATTGTTATTCTAAGCCTTTCTGAAAATGTTTATTGAAATTTGTTTTAATAGTTAATTTTTATAAAGCATTTGTATGTTGATAGTTACAGATGTTAAATTTTTTAAAAGCATGAACACGGGATATTTGGGAAAAACGTGGTTTCCTTAAATATTAATTCACGAGTGGAGATATAATTACACTAATTAAGGAAATACAATTAATTATATTTCCTTAAATATTCTCTACTTCACTAGAGAATTTTATGGAAACTGTCTCAGCACTGGAGGTTAGAAAACTCACAAAAAAGCTGGTGCTCTTTATACAGTTCTCATTAATTATTATTCAAGGAAATAAAACATGTTGCCACATTTTTAAGTGTCCTGTACATACATAAAATAATGTGTACTTTAGTATTTTGTGTAAGGAAAAGTTTCTTACAATAACTCCCTAAAATATGTTTTTGATTCTATGATTTTTTCTAACTCAAAATTTGCATTGTTAGATTTTTATTTAAGGAAAATATGTTACATGTTGTCAATTAAAAATTTTATTTCTTGTGGAGAAAATGATAGATTTTGTTAACAGTTTTGCATATATGTGAAATGATTTTTATTAGTATGCTTTTTTTACATATATTGCAGTTTTTGAGTCGTACTAGTGTTTGTGATTCGATTCCTTTGTTGTATTGAGATTTATTTTCTGTGATATTTAAGTTGTGTTGTTAATCTAGTTATTAATACTTTAATGGTATATAGATATGTAAGTTTCTCGGTGATTTGTCTTCAGCGTGGAGTTTTCCCTCTTTCTTTTCTTTCTGATTTGTTTCAACAATTTTGATAGTTTTGTAGGAAAAGAGAATTTGCAGATAGCATGTTTGAATCGATGTGGTGCTAAGTCAAGACTTACTTACCTTTAAACTTAAGGTGTAGATTCAACTCCAGTATAAATTGTAGCTTTTCTTATGGGTGTGATATAGTTTTCATTTTTGTGATCTGCTTTGGGCAATGTTCTGAGTGGTAAAGATAGCTGCAATTTCTAATGAATGCTTAATCAGCTGTTGTCTAACACTTTGATCTCAAAAAGGAAAAAAAAAAAATTTCTTTCTTTAATTTTTTCTGTATTGATTTATTTTATTCTTGAAACTAGCAGTTCAATGTTTTTTATTGCAACATACAGAGAATAATTGCTGCCTATGCTTATAGCTCAAATTTTAGGAATGCCCTAATCTTCCTATAATTCATGTGAAAGAATGCTATGCCTAGGACTGCATTTAATCAAGGCCTGATTATTTGGCCCAAAGAAACAGTAAAAATTAGCTCATGTCTCAGTGAAGAGCAGCCATTCGTAATTATGTATATATAGATAATCATTCTTAAGAAAAACTAGTCACGAGCAAAACTGCAGCTAAATGTGCTTGTATTTCAATTGCAAGGAGATCAGATTAGGAGGATGAAAGAAGAGAAATCCAGCATTTAATTTCCAGCTGATTGAAGGAGCAGGACATGCATGAAAACTCCTGTAGAACTATATAAAGTAGTGTAATTTTTTAGTACGTGATTTTAGCTTTTTGTTTTTCTATTTGTGAGTATCCTTTCATGAAAGATATCTTGATATCTTCATGACGGGTAATTATAGTATAAAGGACTTCTTTTATATGTTTTCTGTAAAGAAAATTTTTAAAAGAAATGTCCCAAATTAAGTAGTAAAGTTTAAAATTACTTTTATTTTTGTGGTTTATTCCAGAAATGTTCTAATGACAAAAAAATAATGATTGAAATGGTATACAGAATCCTGAAAATGTAATTTTAAGTGGAATCTGAGTTACTTTACGTCTGTTTATCACTGTTTTCAAAATGGGAAATTTTAATTAGTCACATTTTGCTGCATGTTGAGATAAATTTCACTTAACCATCTTTTTCCAACAAACATTGTGATCAGAATTGGTAAGTAGTTATATGATGATTGAAGGTGTTCTATGAAAAAAAGAAATGACATATCAAAAACTGTTGATACATTTTAAATAGTTTGTGGTAAGCATGGAAATTAATTTTTGTCAACATAAAGGTAGATTGATATATCATTTACAGTTTTTTAGTTTCAATAATCTACTGGGCTACAATGCTTGTTACTGAAAAAATTAGTTTTATGTCATTTTTAATAGTAATGTATTTAAAGCACATTTCTGTTAAATATTTGATATTGCAATCATTTTATTACCTGTTTGGTGTATATCATATGAAGTAGTGAGCATAAAGTTCCCACACTGTTTTCAAATACATATAGGCAGGAACATATTGACATGTTGTTGATGTGATTTTCCAATGTTCTTTTCAGCATAATTTGTTTTCCTTTTTTTTTTTGCATTTAGCACATCTCTTTTTATTATCTATTGTTAATGGTGTATTATAACTGGTAACTAATCTGTAGATATCCTTTACAAAGTTAGGGAATTTGCTTCTTCATTTAATAAATACATATCTCGGTACTTTTCTGTTAACAGAGTGCCACGTACTGAACATAAAATGTCGGCACAAAATCTAATTATATGGTGACAACTCTGATGATACACAGAGCTCAGTGGAAAAGACAGCTATTTTGTTAAAGTCCAGAATAAAAACAAATGCAAAATATATTTAATTAGATAATTTCAGAATATGCAGGAGGCATAAAACTGCCTATTTCATTGCTGAAAACATTAGCATCTTTTTGTGCTACATGAATTTAATGAGGTAAAAATCTATATGGTGGCAGCTGGTGGTGTTTATTTCACTCTGCAGTGATGTTTTATTTTGCCTTTTTGCACATAGTATTCTATATTAAGATCAGTAACATTGTATTTGTGTTTGCAGGCACTTGTATCCTGCAATTGCCTGTATATCTGTTTGTGAAATCATCTGAAAATGTAGGAGAAAATAATTCCTGAATTTATGCTCATACTTTCCACTTTTTCTCTGCAATATCTTTCTACACATCTATTCATGATATGGTATAAATAGGCTACCACATTTGGTGACTGGCACCCAGTTAACAGAAAAGTACTTATATCTTTTTTCGTATGGAATCATGTTGATATAGTATATGCAACTCAGTGTAAAAGTAACTAGATTATTCTTCCTATGATGTAAGTGTGCATGATACTTTTGATTACATTTTCATTCATAAAGTGAATTGTATTGGTCTATATCGGTGCCTTTTTATAATACGTACAATATTTCAGCATTCTGTTTTTAAATGCTTCTGTAATATGCAATTTATTTCTAATAGATTCACATTATGTATATATTTTTTTTATTGTTTAGTTTTTGCTTTTATTATAAGTTCCATTTTAAATGCAGTTTTAGATTGGAAGTACAAATTTTAGAGTAAGTGAACTAGGTAACTATAATTGCCTCTTTGTTTTTAACAGTTTCACAGTCTGTTTTATGCAGTAGAATCCCATGTATACAGGAATACATTTCTTTGATCTAGTTCAGTGTTATTTTCTAATATATTGTACATAAAATATACTACAAACTGTTTCATTAAAACTTATTTCCATATAAGCATAGAAATGGAGAAATGTAACTGTATTTTTTTTAAAGGGGGGTGTAATAATTGTGATTTCTAAGCTTCTTGGCCATTGTTCCACAGATAAAGTTTGAAAAATTAGCAAGACGATTATTAACTGAGAATTTACAAAAATCAAGATCTTATTTGCAGAAAACATGAAGGTGAAAATTAACTGTTTTATGGAGGGCTTAAAGGAAAATAGCAAATTTTATTGGCCAAAATCAATGATTGTAGATAGAAATTTTACAGGCATAATTATATCATTGCTTTATATAGTGCTATATCACTTGTTTATATTTATAAGATGTATTGCTTCTAAATTATGAGTCCACTATTAAATTTTTTCATAGAATGATGAAACTTCTCTTAAAGTATACTACAAAATGTTTTAGAACTGAAAGTCTATATCGTCTTATCTTTGTTTCTTGTAACAAAAACAAATTTTAATTAATATTATCATTTACTGACTTAAAAGTGTCTTCTGAACAGGTAGTTCTTTATATTTGCTGCATACATTATATACAGGTGTGCCTGTAAGTAAGAAAATGGAAAATTGTCTATGACTAGTTTTCAGAATATCTTTTTTGGTTTAGTTGGAGCTCTACTGTATAGTTTTTGGTTTTTTTATTCAGGATCAAACATTCTTCATTCAGGATTGTTTTAAGATTTCTGCTTTTATGAAAATGTTTGTGTACACTGTAACTCTTTTCTACAATTTTGTGATATTTTTATACATGTATGTTTTATTTTAACAAATAAAAAAAAATTAAAAAAAAACATTTGTTTATTGTGCTTTTATTAAAATTAATTATAATATGCACAGATTGACTTGTTTGCATTCTGTAATTTAAGTAACTTTTTCTTATTTGTATCAAAAGATGTTATTTAATTTTATCAACATACTATTAGTTAATAGTAAGAAAACAAAGTATATTTATCAATTGAAGGGCAAAACAAATTGGAATCCCAGTAAGTATGCGAATTTACAACATACAAGTTTATTATTTTAACACATGACTGTGTCACTGCTTGCAAGCAGTGACAATTATTCATGGCTATGTGCTTATTTAGTGTACATATATATTTAAATGAGTATTTCCAGATTTAAACTGTTGAGCATTTATTTAATATTGTAATTTCTCTTTAGTTCATGCTCAACTGATCATTTATCAATTGGATAAGACCTCTGAACATGATAGTTATTCACCGTGCATTTGGCTCCTAGCAACAAAACTGCAGATCAAATGGATGTGTGGGATCACTTTGTAGATTTGATATTTTTTTATTCTATCATACATTCTGTACATTTTAAAATAGAAAATTTGTGCAGCACCAAATAAATGTAAGTTTGATGCTGTGCATATTCTTGTTTCAAGACTTTGGAAAATTTTAGTCTCTATTTGGGTGAAAAGTAGTAAGTGATGTAAGCTTGCATCATTTCTTGAAATAGTTATGAAGTTTTTTTAAGCTGAAATTATGTAAAACTAGTGGAAATACCTGAGGGCAGTTAAGTTAGTTTGAGAGTTATGTATTCAACAACAGAGCGAACGATACCGCTATAATCCTTCTCTAATAATTATGCAAAAAATAAGATTCATAGTCATACATTTTTCAGTCTGATGCGAATCCACATAAAAAATTTCAATAGAAACATGAGCTTATTCTGTCAGGTTGTATTGGCAATAATGGCTCTTAGTTTTTAATGATTTTCGTCTTTCTAAGTAAATGGTCATAAAAGCTTAAGTTACATCCATTATTTCGCCTATATACAATTTTAGTCAATTAAATGTGACCAAAAAAGTGATCACAGCGACCAAACACACAAACAGACATTCTTCCTTTTTACAAATTGTTGATTATCAAACTCTATGATTTAAAAGCGAGCAGTAGCAGCACTTTTCGAAATAAAGCATTTTCATTTCCAATGCATGAGACTGCTGCCATTCGAAAAAATGAGTGCAAAAATTAATGTTTTCGGGGTTTTTAATTAATATCTTGTCCAAGCCATGCAAAGATGGGAATAATCAAAATGGCTTCCTATGAATTTTTGGAATCTGGAATAATGTGTTTAATCTTTGGCGATGCTATTTTTATTTCATTGTAAAACTTAGAAATTTTTTATTAACAAACCCTAGGATTTGAAAACGATCATTGGCACCAACTTTCGAAATAAAGCTGATTTTCATCTCCAGCTTGCGAGACACTTGCTGCTCAGAAAAATTAGGGTGAAAATTGGTTTTTAATTAATATCTCTAATCTTAGTTGTGTGTGTGTGGGTTTTTTTTTTTTTTTTTTTCCTTTGAAAAATGTGGACGTCGACTTTTTTCAAGACCTAGAAAAGAATTATAGAAAGTTTGATGACGATAGCTATAGTAGTGACCGAGTTATTAGAGGAGAAACATCCCACCTTTAATTCCATGTTCTCGAATGGTTAGAAACTTTTAAATTCTGCATTTGTAAAAAGTCATTGGTATCAAAAGGGAGAGGTATAGAACCAAAAAATTGTCCCGTGGCCTGCACAACACCATCTCAGTATCAGAACTAGGAGAATCGGAGTGATGGCTAAGGAGTAAAAAGGATAAGGTAAAACTCAAACCAACTGCATTGATTGCAGTTGTGTAGTGTGACTTAACCCTTTGCAGCTGGGACTAGTACACCTTGGCTGTGATAGTTTTGACAGTCTAGCTATTCAAAGTGTACAGCACCAGTGTTGGTCCACCAAACAGAGTGCAGTACTTTCTGTTAATGAATGTTTTATATCGGGGCAAATGCTTTATAGAACCAGTGGCCAACCAATTATGTTTTCATTTATGGTCACTGTATAACACTATTTCTTATTACATATCTGTTCCAGGAATAGTACTGTTTTATGGCATAACAATACAGAGCAAATGGTGAGCTGCTGGAGTTCGATTTCCTCAATTAAAACATGTAAACCCACTTACTGAGCTTCATGTCTTTCCAAGGTTATGCAGATGCAATCAAATTGTATTTTTTAACACTTTAAACCTTTGTGCAAATTCTTTGCACCCTTGATAGCCTCTTTTAGCAGGGTTTCATCAATAGTGGATGGGCACTCAGTTTGAAGCTTGTCCTGGAGATGCTTATTTACTGATGCAAATTGACTGAACGACTTCAGTGCTGTACACTCGTTCACTGAAGCCCCTACAAATGTGGAGTGTATTTTTCAAGCATCACTTCTGTCCAGTTTGACTCATAAAGTAAATATGGCCGTAAAACATTGTTTAACACTGACTTATTCACTTCACTAGTTCCTCCAGAACTGCTTTTGACAGAACTCTGCTGCAACTTAACAGTCCGACAGTTTAATATTTGCCATTTGAATTTTACTTTTTGCTCCAGCAGCACAAACTTTTTTTTAGTTGCCTAGCATAATAGGTAAGTATGATATTAGCTTTCTGATATGTCAAAAACATAACCATATATTGAAGATTTCAAGGTATAGTTGCATCTATGGAATACAGTCAAAAGTCTTTAATCCGGACTCGTCGGAACTTCGGCGATTCCGGATTATCGATTTTTCCAGATTATAGATCATCAGTTTAAATCTGGTAAGATGGCATGCAGAAGTTATAAAATTAAAAATATGAAACCGTAATTTATGAAATAAAGAACAATTATGATCTAAAGGGTATCAAAATTTACAAAAAAAAAAAAAAAAAAGCTTAATATTTATTTGTTTTTTTTTATTAAACATTTCTTTCAATGTAAGTTGTTTAAGTTGCTTTGTTTTATGTGATAATACTTTCTCTTTAATTCTATAAACAGACATTTTCTCTTCTTCAGTTACAAAGTTCCGCTGGTCAAGTCCTATAATTGCTGTGTCGAGAATACCGACTAATTTGTCAATCGAAATTTTTTCGTTTTCAATAACCTCTGTGTCACTTTCTTCACTATCGGAAGCGAATTATAATGAGGAGGAATTTGATTTAAATCATATCAAAGACGGAGTACATCGAGATAAAATACTACATTTAGTAAGGAATTATAAGACAAATAAAATAAAAACATCTGCCCTGAAGATAAGGATAGTGCTGACAGATCAACTTCCAATTCATTACGCGCCGCGTCGTTTCCCTTCCCCCCCCGCAGAGCAGCGTGAAATTGATAAACATATTTCGGAATGATTAGATAATCAAAGGATATGCCTTTATCCATTTTTTGCAGCAATTCCACTTTTTGTTTAATGGACTTCGAAACATACTTTCGCTTTGTAGATCCTTTACATATTAGTAAATATATATCGGAAATTCTATTTGACATAATCGAAAGTTCAAGCTTACTTTTATAAAATTGCTGTAACAGTCTGCAAAAAATAATAAGCCGGATCCAATTCGAAGATTAAGGAACAACGCAATCTGCAACATTACCTGAATTAGATAATTTCAGCTTAGCTTATACCGTCCGTTATACATTAAACGCGCTTGCGTAAACGTATTATGCGCATGCGCACACGCATATTCGCAGCCGTAAAGGTCTTACGCGCATGCGTCGTTTTGACGCAGAAAGTTTGTAGATTCGAGGTCCGGATTATGGGTGTCCGAATTAACGACTTTTGACTGTATATTATAATGTAGCCAGTTTGAGAAATTAACATGATTTTTCCATCTTTTGGATGAAATGCATATTTTAAACACTTGACTGTTTTCCTTCACAAAATTGCAAAATCAGATATATTTGAATTTGGTTGTTGTATACACAATTCAAATGTTTTTCTACTGAATTCTTGTAAACTTTTAGAGGGAAGAAGTCACCCAATCAGATTTAAAATTCATTGAAATCTATCATTCAGCAAGTATCAAATACGTCTGCCAT